ACCAGTTTTCTATCCCATCTCCCTTACAGTAGAATGCTGTGTCTCTAGTAAGCCATTTCTGTTCCTGTAAAGCCCTTTCAAATCTATCCAGAATTGTCAGTTTAAAATTCATTATTTTTCTCCAGGCTCTAACAACAAATATTATGGGAGGATGTAAGAACAAGTAGAACTGCAGTCTTTATGCCAAGGTGTGTTTGGGTGTTAGTAGAAGTCAGTGAAAAAGAAAATATTGCATTCATGTCTTTTAGCATCACCAAGCTTTTGCCGTTAATTATTGCTGTGTGACCACATCTGCTAACGGAGCCAGAGCAGTTACAGGGTACAGTACACTGGAAGGATTTTGTACTGGGCGATATGGGAAGTGAAATGAGGTCAGCAGTGTTGCACGTTTCCTTCTGGAGCTGTGATGGAAGAGAAGCCGTGCAAGTGGCATGCCTGTGCACTGGTAACAGCAGGATGTCTCAGTGTGAAGGTGTTAACATGTTCCTCCATGCTCTGGTGGCCTGGGAACAGTGTGCACTAGAGCAGCTAGTGCAGCTTTTCAGGGCAGGCTCTTCAGAAGATGGCAAAGCTTGATCGTTTTAAGTATCAAATGAGCTACGGCCTCCGTAGAGTGAGCCAAACCAGGGAGGTTATGAATTGCAGATTTGGTACACGGTGTTCTTTCTGGGAAGGGTGTCCATAAATAATTGGTCTTACGAGATATACCCAAAAGGCAGAAGCTTAATCTTCAGTTTCTGTACAAGCCAGAGGTAAAGACCCTCTGCAACAGATGAGTTTTGTGGCAGTGAAAGGAAGGAAGGGCTCTTCTAAAGACAGCCTTTCCACCCCACTCCGTCCTGTCTGTCTCTGGTACAATCACAACCTTGTCTTGAAACACAGAGTTGCTCTCCTTCACTGATAGATATAAACCTGGTGAGCCAGCTTCACCTTCTGTGCCACCTCCTTTTGATTTCTGTATGGTACAGATGAACTGGGCACAGTGAGTAACCAAGGAGCAGCTCATCTATTGACTGCACAAGCAAGAAGTGTTTAAAATTACCTGACATACATTGTGGTCAGCTGACAAGCATAGCCAGCTCATGCAGGTTGTGGGAATTCATGTGGCGGGCTCAGCAAAGGACTTGGCCAGGTTTCTCTGCAAAATCAGAGGGTAAACCTGCAGCATCCCATGGTTCTTCCTAAACTTCACTTCAGACAGCTGATGTTATACAAACAACTACGTCATGAAGGGACGCTGTCAACTTGGACTTTACATTTCTGGCTGAAGAATGGTTTAAAATTTTACTTTTATCTGGGTTTACTCAGACTTTAGTTAACAGAAGCCTTCACTTGTTTACCTTTTATTAGTGCAATGAACAGACTTTCATGTAATAATTTTGCTTTTCTCAGAAAACAAAAGATGTATTTCTGGTCGAACTAAAACCAATATATATGTTAAATACTTTCTAGCTAAAAGATTTCCAGTCAAGAAATGTTAAAGCATTATTTTTCAAGTACTAAACCCCAAGCTGGCAGTGGCCTATAACAGAAGAGTACTCACTCTCATATTTAATGGTTGCTTTCAAATCTGTGCCCAGAAATGCAGAATGCCTGTTGTGTAATGCAAAACTATGTGTGCGCGTTTGCTACAGTGCTGGGAAATGCCTGCACTGACGTAGGAAACAGCAGTGCTGCTCCATTTCTTCCCTGTTTTTTACAGATTCTTGTGTCCACAAATGGTAGAGCTGTGGCTAGCGTGTTCTGCCTGTGATGAGTGTTAGGGTTGCAATTCTCTTTTAATTCATCTGCATTTTTCAGTTTGGTCCATGTACGGTGTGTAGGAAGTTTCCTGGATTATTCATTTTTGTTTGTCGTCTTTTCAGTTTCTGCTACAGGGTCTCATTTTTTCAAATTCTGTACAGAGAAAGTACACAAGCAAATGCAGTGTGTATTTGTTTGAATGGTGTTTTTGATTGCTTAGGAAAAATTCTAAAATGTTGTCTATAAGTAACCCAAATGCTTTTGTTTCAGTCCAAGTGTTTACTATATTGAACAGGGAGGGAGATATGCCTAGTGAAGTCCAAATTTGCCCAGTTCAGTCTGGGTGAGAATTACAACTGGGTAAGAGTTGTGGCAGCAGCAGTGGATGTGATCTCGTGCTTCATACAGAGGGAGAGAAGAGAAAGCTAAACCTAGTCTCCAGGTGCACACAGTCTGTGACTCACTTGTGGTGCTTCCTTGGCATGCCTGGTTTCCCCAGAGCACCACCAAGGAAAAATTGCCTTACATTGCTTTTGTCACTTGAGTGGTGATGTGGAGGTTTTTGTAAAGAGTGACAATGTTGGTGTGTAGCTTTAAGACCTTCCACAGAGAACAAATGTGTTTAACGCTTAACCCTCAGTGGCACCCAGTTTGTTCTGAAGAGTGCGTCTCAGACGGGGCGTTAGATTCATCCCACCCTTACACTCTCCCTTCCTACAGTGTGTCTGCTCTACCTGAGGGCAAAGATGCTGATCATCAAGGTGTTTTTTGTGAGGAGGAGACCTGTCTTCTAGAGCGAGCACCAACAACCACTCCTGCATTAAATGCCTGCTGAGTAGACTTCCAGTCATTGCTGACTTGTGCTGATTCACACCAGCAGACTGAAAATTAAAACATTTCTGCTAGCTTCCAGCCCTTGGAACTGTTCAGACACATTAATATGACAGTAGCAGAGTGTGATTTAAACACTGCAGTGAGGAACTAAAAAAGCAGAAAGGAAAATCCTTTTTTTGTTGTCCCCGCAACAGCCCCGTGTTCAATCCTATTTAAGACTGTGAGATAGTGTTTATATTTTCTTTGTGCAGAGATGTTATTATCTCAGTGAAAATACCTTTGCAGACACCATTCCAAAGCAAGAAAGGTGATCACTATCACTTGCTGTAAAGGCTTTGTCCAGCCATCCGTTCATAAGTTGCTCATCAACGTAGCACTTCATAAGTGCTGGCTGAGCACAGAAGAAAATGAGCCAGATTTCTGTGTGCTGTTGACGTGGGTGTTGTAGGCAAGGTGGCATCATTCTAAGCTTTAAAGAAGTCACTGATTTTCCTCATGTGTTTCCCGATGGCTGCCTGCTGTGGAACTTGCTGTGGTAGACCCCAGATTAACTAATACAGCTGAATTTGCGGGCTCATGAGTAACTTGTAGTTAAGCATTTTGTGCAGCTTCTTAATGGGGAGTGAGGGAGGTGCCTACAGAGAAGCTGGGATGCTTTTGTCTGAAAGTATTCTGCTTGGGGCCTGACTTGAGGCTTCTGGAGTGCCTTGATTGTACAGCAGCACTAAGTACTTACACGTTGCACTTCTTTCACATCACGTCATGCTGGTGAATTTGGAAGTCATTAAGGGATTGGAGGAGCTGCTGTTGTGCATCTTTTCCTCCACATAAAAGCTTTGAGGATGTAGGTTAATAAGGAAATTGCTGTGAGCCTTATTCTTGTGCTCCATTTATAAAATGCTTCGGAAGTAAAAGTTATTTTTAGGGAGGACAGACCAGCAGCAATAGCAGACCTTCGTGTCTACAAAAAGTCTCATGATTTTTTGTAGAGGAAAGAGTGCTCTCCATTTTCTCCTTTGGCTAGTGATGCTTTCTCAGGCAGACTTGGCCAGTGCTTCACAGGCACCATTTCTGAGTAAGGGTTGGCTGGTTCCTTGTCCTGCTTTTTGACAATATGAGGCTGGGCTCTGAAAGCACCATCTTTGCCACAGCAACATCTTCCTCTGCAAAACAGGATTAAGTGCTGTTATCCAGGTTTGGAGTGCCACAACAGAGCTGAGCACAGTATCCCAGGCCACGCGAGGCAATTGGACTCATGAGCTTTGGCAAAATCATGCAAAGGAACAGCACTGAAAGGTCCAGTGTTGTTCTGTGATTAGGTGGTGCCAGTAAGTTTGGCATATGTTCAGAGTTAGTTGGGACGTAATGTGTTTGTGTTTGTAACACGGAGGAGGTACATGTGTTCATCACAGCCGTGAACATTTGCTGCACAATTGTTGGCAGGGTCACCCCTCAAACATAGGCCTACTGAGCTCTCTGTCACTAGTACTGTTTTTTAATGAAGAAAATAGCAATCTGATCTTCTTTGCAAGGCATACAGCTGCAGTTAAACTCTTCATGTCTGTCATGTCTATCAAAATCTGACCTTAATGTTGCTAATGGCAGAAAACATCCCTAACAGTTGTGCTTTTGTGTGAATTCAGTTTCAGTCATTAGTTGGCTGATTGGTTTTTATTTACTTTTATTATTGCATCTTCTGAAAGCCAGGTTAAAAATTAGGAAAGATGACATTGGGGTTTTTAATGAGAATTCACCATTGGTTCATTCTCTGTTTCTTCTTTATGCCTGTTTTTTAGCTACTGATGCCTGTTACAGCTGCTTTGCTTCATAGGGGAGGATCACAGGGATATATTTCTCCCTTATCGTATGACTTTCTGGGATTTTAAAAGACAAGAGCCCTGTACTCCAGAGAGGGAGAATAAGAGCCTCTGCTTTTCAGATTGATGAAATGTCAGTATCTTTAGGCATAAAGAGGCGGCAGTGCCTATTTCCTTTTCTTAGAAAATAGTAAGCACTGACATATCAAAGGTGGCAAGAACAGAGTTATCTTTCCCCGTTCAAAGTGAATGATCCACAGTGGATCTTATATAGGCTTGAAGCAGGGGTGGGGAGGTGGAGGGGGTTGGTAATCTAAATCTCACAAACCAAAAAACAAAATGTTAAGAGGTTGGAAAGACTGATGAACATTTGAACTTGGAACTCGTTTATGGAAGTTTCACTGAGTCAAGGTAGTGGTTGGAATGCAATACCTGCTTTTAGAATATAGAATTGTAGCTATTTCTAGGTCCTCATTATTATTCAGAGGAAATTCATAATGCTTAAATGAGACAAAAAAAAATAATCCCCTAAATAGATAAAGGACTAAATGTTTAAAATTACAGTAACATTCATCATCTTTCCCCCTCCCTAATCTATTTTACTAGACTATTTTGAGGATTGTGGTCCTTGGCATATGGGATTACATTGAAAACAAAATAGAGGTAAGCAGTCTTACTCTTCATACCGCTTTCCAGACAGGCACAGTAAGAGTACTATGAACTGCTTTGGGTAGTTTTTTTGTAGAACTGGTGGAATACAGTATCTTTGAACTCAGATAAATTTTCTCATTATCGGCATGTATACATAGGCATGTGATGCAGTCCCTTTTTCTGTGGGAGACTCAGAAAAGTGCGGTATTTGCAAATACTTTGAGGGAGGGGGGTTTGTGGTGTTTTTTTGATCTTGGTGTCTAGTTATTTTGTTGTTAGAGCTGTGCCATTCTAACTGTTGATACTGCTACCCAGAGATGGGGAATAAGAGTAAAAATTGTCATGTGAGTTGTGTAACCCCAGTCCAATAATCAAGCTGAAATTAGAACTGGTTGAAAAACTGTGTGTGGTTTTCTGATAGAAAATACTGATTTGGTAAAGGCCCCAACTTTATTGTGAAATTATTTTTTAATTAAAATTAATGACAATAAACACTATAATTTGTACCTGAAATTAAAAACAAGTTAGAATGTGCATTCTGTTGCAGAGACAGGTAAGGAAATGTGTGTATTGTAAGTAATACATAATCCTAGTCTGAGCAGAAATCTGAAGATCAGGAAAAGGTCGGAGCTCTTCCTTGGTACTGTCTGATAAAATAATACTGCACAGGATGCAGCAGAAGAAATTCTGGATTTTCTCAGAGCTTAAGTGAGTCTAGAGGCTTGCACAGTTTTGTAATAAAGTTGTAAACCTTTTAACTTGTTTTGCTAACAAACTTAAATTCTTGATTCGGAGATTGTCATTATTGAGGCTAAATGTAGCAGTCTCTAATAATTTAGTTTGGTAATTTGGAATGGAGCGATATTGTTCACTGGCCATCAAATAGTGGCAGTAAGAAGTGTTTATTTTCAATACACTGAATTATTAGGCACAATTATGAATTTGTAGTGCTTATAAAATCTATGTCCTGCTCTCTTCTGCAGACCATTTGTCACTGGTCTTTGGCAGCTGGGAAGGGTCTCAGTAGGAATGAGAATTCTGTTCTACCCTGCTAGGCGAGAGTAGGACAGACACAACATTATTGCCAGTTTGCTCTGAAATGTATTTACTGACACGTTTCTGTGTAATACTTTGCACAATTGCCTTTTCTGATCTAATCCCAGGGCAACTAAGTGTCATACAAATCATTCTGAATAGTCCCAGTTGTCCGAGTCCTTGAAAACCTAGCTGCCCAATAAAGACGAGATCAGGGAGTCTTTCTGTCTTGATGCACAGCCGTTCCCACACACATTGTGTAGCCAGGACATGGCTGAGAGCCATCAAGTCTCTTTGCTCTGTCATTTTCAACTTGTCTTCATGATTTCTTCATTTAGACAGTAAGATCTTTGGGAAGGGACTGTATCTTTTTTTGGATAACAGTATACCAAGTAACAGGTAGTAAGTGCCAGTGATAATAAAACTCTTTGGCTGTAATAGCATTTAGGCTAGCACTTCTGCTTGTGGACTTTGCCCAGTATTTCCAAATGCTTTTCTCTCTCCCTGTCCTCCCACCACAGTTTTTCAATCCTCACCTCATAAAATGCACTAAGGAATTCTGCTGTGCTACCTAAAAAGGATGTAGCCTTTCTGTGGCCTGGCCACCTCTCATATCCCCTTCAATATATCATAAATGCATTTCTTTTGGGGAAACTGGGAGCCCTTCAAGACCCTGAGCAGTGATGGCAGGGTTATAACCTTCAGGAAGGATTTGAAAAACTGATTTCTCTCTAGGTGTTTGACGGTGCTGTCATCATTTTGTCCTTGGCACCAATGGTGGCTTCAACAGTGGCTAATGGCCCCAGCAGCCCATGGGATGCAATCAGCCTTATTATCACACTGCGAATATGGAGAGTGAAGAGGATCATTGATGGTGAGTGGTGATTCCATTTGTGACTCCAAGAATTACTTGGCAGGCTGGCCAAAAGTTATTTTGAAAATTTGGAAAGGTTGCCTGCCACCCTTGTTTCTGTTGTTCTCCTTTCTGTTACATAGTAAAAGCACTGAACAGGAGAGAGTGTTTCCATGGAGGGAGAACAGGTCTCAAGTTCATGGTTGTATCTCCTGTTCCCTAGGAGCCTTTATAATTGATGGGTTGGGTTTTTTGCTAGGCATCTTCACATCCCCTATCTGGTAAGTAAATGCCATGAGCCGCTTCATGTCTCTTGCCACCAGGTGTCATTCCTGATTCTGCTAAATAATTGCTTCCAATATGCTTTTCTGATACTTGCTGCACCCTCCCCTTTTCTGTACACCTAGCTCTCTTGTGGGGCTTTCTTTCCCAAGTTATTGGCTGTAATAGAATTTTTATTTCACATTCCTGGAGCATTTTGTTGCCGTGGGGGTTTCATGCTGGAGGTGCTTTCTGCAATGCTGGCGTGCTGTACAGCATAGTAAAGAAGTGTGCATCGGTATTGTTTTGCACAGGCGCCTGTGGGGAAGCACC